TTTATAAAAGATTTAGAAGTGTATATTTATGTATATTAAGACAGACTGATTTCATTGTGTTTATGTATATTTATAACGCAAAAAGCATATCCAAAAGAGCAAAAGAAATTAAAGGAACAAAATTCATAAATGCAAAAGAAGCCTTTTTTCCTTTGTCAATATCTCATCCACTTCGTCTGAAGATCCCTTCAGTACATTTGTGTGCATGGCTTTTGCTAAAGGTAAATTAAAATCATTATAAACATCTGAAATTCATAAATGCAAATGAAAAACGAAATGCTTAGCTCACTTCTCACCTAAATGGGGAGATCCTTTAAATGAAAACCAGGATATTTTCCTTGTAAGGGGATAAATTAATCATAAAAAAAGCCAAAAGTGGCTGATATTTTTTCTTTGATAAAAATTAAACAAATATATAAACTGGCTGGTACGTTAGCAAATGAAAGTCTTTCAAGATCTTTTATTATGGATCCCAGTTGATTTTAGTGGAGAAAGCGTCTTTGAACTTTTCTTTGGGACCAAGTAAGAATACATTCTAGTGGAATTATCAAAGAAGGGGGAGTTGGATCTCTTCTGGCCACAAAAATTGATCGATCTTTTTCAACAAAAGTACGTGTTACCATTTTCTCACCAAGATTATAATGACCTCTGTGGAAAGTGGAGACCATGAGCAAATCATTAATCAGAATTCATTACTCCGACATGAATATCCAAAAGCTCTTAAATCAACGACATCAATCTGCAATAAGTCCAAAGCTTCATCATATATAATCAACATCGTTCTCAAGCATTTCACATCTACCATCTCATATTCTACTATACATATTAAAATATGTAAGGAGCTCCGAAATATGAAAATTTTAAAATAATCTCTCAAATTGTTTTAACTTCCATGAAGTTTCTAAAGATCATTTTGGCATTAAATTCTTTTTTTTTTGTGTGGCTGAAATGACCTTAATAAATAAACCAAGGCATTGACTAGAATTTTCTTTAGTCCATAACAAAGGTTACTCTTATATATTTATTTATTTTTATTTTCATTTTAAGGTCCTTTTCGGGGCGAGTTTCCCTACAATTTGCAAACATGTGATTTGCTTTTTCTTTGTGTTGAACATTCTGACGTAATGCTTCTTTTCTTATGTGTTAATCTCATCCACTTGGGCTTAAATAGTTATATCTTATGCTGTCTTAAAGATAATATTTTTTTTCTGCCAAATTGTTTTAAAGATTATATTGCTTTTGAATATTCTCAAGGAAATTTTTTTACTAAAATATTATATGAGGGTCAAAATATTAAGATAGATTGATTTAAGTAGTACCGAAAAGAAGGATGTATGCACGTATTTGGAAGTGGAAGAAAAAGAAGAAAATTATTTATTAAAAGATTTAGAAGTGGGCTTTCATATGTGTTTATGTATATTTATAATGCAAAGAGCATATCCAAAAGAGCAAAAGAAATTAAAGTAACAAAAGAGAGACCACTAATTAACATAAAATATTTATGTTTGATTTTTCCACATTCTCTAAAGGAACCCTTTTTTACTTTGTCAATATCTCATCCACTTTTTCTGAAGATCCTTTCAGTGCATTTGTTAACATATGGCTTTTTCTAAAGGTGATTTAAAATCATTATAAACATCTTAAATTCATGAATGCAAATAAAAAACGAAATGCTTAGCTCACTTCTCACCTAAATGGAGAGATCCTTTAAATGAAACCAGGATATTTTTCTTGTAAGGGGATAAATTAATCACAAAAAGAAGCCAAAAGTGGCTGATATTTTTTCTTTGATAAAAATTAAACAAGTACAACTTCCAGTCCTAATTATAAGAGCTAGTTGACTCATTTGAGGAGATTAAGAAAAGAAGTTAAGTTAGTTATTTGTCATAAATAGGTATTGTTTTTCCTAAAATATTCTTGCTAATCAAATGTACTGGTTAGAACTACCATTATTAAGATAATTATCTTAGAAAAAATGTATAAATATTATAGACAAAGTGGATTAAGATCTTATATTTAGGACCAAAATAAAAGTCAAATGAGGTCCTATATTAAAGACCAGAGGTAGTATATAATTCTATATTTATAAAGACATTATGAACCCCAAAACAACAAAAAAAGAAAAACCTAAATCATAGGGGGCTAGATTCCAAAGACGCTTTCTCCACTAAAATCGACTGGAATCCATAATAAAAGATCTTGAAAGACTTTCATTTGCTGACGTATCAGCCAGTTGGTTTTTATTATCTTGAAATAACCTACAACCTCAGCTTCCAAGAGTTTCTCATGAAGTTTTGAATCTGAATGGGGATTAAACTAGCTCCTCTGTTACTTTTGATTATCTTGTATCATATCCAGAAGAGTTTTCGCATCAAATTGCAGTCTAACTCTCTTAGATCTGAGATCCAAGCAAGATTCAAGCCTTCAAATATTGCCCATTCTCCGTTTCAAGAGCATTGCAAGTAGCAATAACATGAGTGAAGCCAACAATCCAATTACCAGTTTAACTTGAATTGCTCCACCACGTCCAACTTTATTGTTTGATGAGCTCATAGCATCGGCTACGTTTACTTTAATACATCCCACAATGCAGGTAATGGCCAAACTAATCGTTCTGCGGTAGCAGTCTTTGAATTTTTTTTTTTTTTGTTAAGCACAAATATCCTTATATTGAAGGTAATTTTATTCTCCAAGGCTTTAAGTAATCAGCATCAATCAAAAGATTATTTCACCATTTTCAGAGGCTAAATAGCCGCTCCCCAAATTTGATTACAAAACAAAGACGCCTCCCATTTACATGTTAAAGAAGCCCAACATTTAATTTAATCCACCCCAATTTGCAGGTAGGGTAATTGCCAAACTAATCGTTCTGGAGTGACGAAACTATTAGAAGCGGTTTCCTCCTGCACCTGAACATATTTCTTCCAAATCTGCATCATAACTGTAGTAGGCTCCCAAGATTTTTTTTTTTTTTAAAGATATCCTTGTATTGAAAGTAATTCTATTAAGTTTTAAGTAATCAGCATCAAACAAATTATTATTTCTCCATTTCCAAAGGCCCAACATTGGGAGGCCCACTGCATCAGACACAGAAGACAAAACAGAAACAGTAAACTACAACTCCACTCATAAAAGTTGGTCCAAATGGCTGGGTGAAGATCCAGTTGGCTAAGCCCAAGCCACAAAGACAGTTCTGCAGCTTCAGTAACCAACAAAGAGCACGGACAACCATGCAAGAGGAACGCCACAATGGGTCACATAAGAAACCAACGACCCACGACATAGATGACCCTCAGGCTATTGGAAACATCTTTGGCGAAAGTCTGCAGTAATGAGCCTGAATGTTAGAGATATTAATCAAGAATTAATCACACAATTCGCTAAGATCTTGTTGTGTTAGGGGCCTATATAAAGTATCCATAATTATTGGTTTTAGGCGTGATGGGAATGCGTATCCCCACCATGAGGAGGGGGTAACTTGAGTCTCTCTCTAGAGAGAGGATAACACAAGTGCCTCTCTCCCCTAAGGATTTTCGGATGAATTGTTGTAATGAACTTATTGCTCCGTGGTTAATGAAGAAGTTTTTCTCCATTTTATTCCACTTATTCTCTCTGATTAATATGGTTTACAACATGAGTAGCCTGACAGTGTTTTTATAGCTGCCACAGCACTATGCATTCTAGGGCAGTTCCATCATATATAAATAAATGTGTGTGTGTGTTCTCTTCATTTTTCGTCCAGGCCAGCGTTTTTGGTAGAGCTCGTTGATCCACAGTGAGGAAGATGTGAACTCCGATGTCCATCCATTACTGTCATTAGCCTTGACACCAGTCATTACCATGGGACTTTGTAACTATCCCTTACAACCAATATGTATATTTTAGAGAAAATATTATAAATTCTAAAGACAAACTAGATTGATAGTTTATATTTGTAACAAAATGTAACCTCCAACTAGCTGTTTTTTTTTTTAAAAAATAACCCATTGGGCTGCCCGGTATCTAGCACTTTTTTTGAATTTTATTATCAGGTATATGAGCAACCAACTAATCCGAATTGAGCTATGTAGGACCACTTTGAGTTGCAGGCTGTCCCAACAAGTTTTAACGTAGCTGCGTAGCTACATACCCTGGGTGCGAACACGAGATTGCTAGTTAAGTTGGACAATTTCTTATTAGTTTGATCAAGCATTTGTTAATTGAATTTCTAACTAATTTTTATATTAAAGACCAACGGTAATTCAATATTTCCTTCATATTTTTAGGCTTTATTCTTATTATTGGATTTCCAATACTTTATAATAGATTTTTTGAAACGTTGGACTTTTTATCCTCAATTTTTTTTTTGTTTTTTGTTTTGCCATTCTTTTTATCCTTAAGTTTGAGCCTTTATGATTTGCATTTCACATTCAACGTCTCTTATTATGCTATTGGGTGGATAATCTCCCGTGTAGAACCTTTTTTTGACCAAATGAAAGAACACCATTGATCATTGGGAGAAAGCTTACGTTACGTTTTTTTTTTTACAAGACGCTTAAAGTCCAGGCATGTTCTGAAAAAAACATTGTTATTGCAAAAATTAGTTTTATTTTTAAAGTTTAGTTAGATACGATGGGGTTGAATGGAAAAATGAGCCTGAAATGACAAGATCAAAATAGTCAATTTGATTGTTGTTGTCTCAAATATTACTAACAAAAGTTTATTTTTATCTCCTATTTTTATCTGAAATTAAAAACAGGAAAAAAGCTACCATATTCACCTGGTTTAACGAGCCCAATGAGTGGCCTAAACACGAGTAGCGGCTCTTTTTCTTTAAAAAAATAATAAAATTCAGTTCCTCGCCATTTTCAGATCTGTGTATCAGTTCCTCGCCTTCTTCTCTCGCCATTTTCAGCTCGCATTCCTCCTTCCGAGTTCCTTCTTGTTTGTCTCAGTCTTTCCTCCTCTCGCTATCGAAGCTTGATGTGAAGCTTGTCATTCGCCGTCACTGTGACTAGTTTACTAGTTGCTCACTGTCGGCTGTCGCTGTGCATTCTCGCCATCTTCAGCTCGCCGTGAAGCTCATCGTGCCTACTCATCATCACGGTTAGATCTCTGGTCTCGGCGTTCTCTAGCCCATGGGTCTCGTGGTTCTTTAGCTCATGGGTCTCTCATTCTTCCCTCATTTGGTTCGGCTCGCCGTGGTTCATAGTGGGTCACCGTCCTTCACTTCTCCTTCACTTAGGTGAGTTACAAACTTGTCTGGGTAGAGTGGTTGGTAGAGTATAATTTGTATTGCTGCTCTTAGACTTGTTAGAATAGTTATGCACTAGGTGGATTTTTTAGTTTTTATTGTTGCATTTTAGGCGTTTGATGAAATGCCCATGTGTATCCAAAAATAGCTTAATTTTTGATGAACCCCGTTTCGAAAAATGAGGCCCGCTTGGGAGAGCTGTTGGAGTATCTGGATTTGAGACCAAAAGCCAGATTTAACATACATTTTGAATAAGCTAACCTAAGGAGCTTATTCAAATTAAAACCAAGCTTATGGACCGTTAGAGAAATAATTAACATGTCACATTGGTTGTTTTCCCCACTCCTCCTCATTATTCTCTCGTATAATATTCTCTGTGCCTTTAGATATCTACATTCATTCTTCTCATGCTGAAAAGGTCGCCGCTGGACAGAGCCGTCGCCTCCACCTCGCTAGCTCCATCCGCTCTCCGCTGTGAGGTTCGTCTGGTGTTGAGTGTGGTTTGGGTGATCTCTTCCTCCTTCATCATTTCTCCAAACGTGTTTGAGCATCCGATCTGCTATCACCCTCGTTGAAGCGGTGGTCGTCGCAGCTCTGCATTTGGGTTGTGCTTGGAGATCTTAGGTTCCTAGTAGAACGCATGCTCCGATCTACCTCTGTCACGGTTCATTGTCGCCAATCTGGTACAGGTAGGCAGGATCTCTGTCTTCTTCGATCTTTGCTGATTGCATGTAATGACCAATGAAAGTGTTGATTTTTATTGGTTATGTGGAGTTGATATGATGTAATCGGAGTATGGATTTGCTTGGTAGAAACTGTTGTTCTTGGGATTTTGTCTGAGCTTGGTTTCTGTTGACATCATTCATTGTGTTCTTCCTCATTTTTCGTCTTCCCTGTTCTTGCCTGTGTTTTTTCTTCCTTGTTCCTATTTCGGCCAAAATAACAGAGAGCATGGACCACATTTCGGTGCTGAAGTTTTGTTTATTGGTAAATTGTCAACGTAAAACTCAGCATTTATTCCGAGTTGATAATCCTTAATCACGAGGGAATCAAAGAACATGCCAATATATATGTGTGTGTGCGCGAGCGCATGATGGGATTCAATGAAAGAGCAGTTTTTATATACATATTCAATAAATCTCTTATATATTCAATGAGTCTCAAACAGAAATTTAATCTTGGTTCGATCACAGAGTAGAGTTATCCTAGCTCAGCAATTCTCGTTTACTTATTTTTTGATTCCTCCTCTTTGCTTTCTTATGGCGTACCATAATCTGATTTCTCCTATAAGTTCAATACATTATGTTCATTTACATTTGTGCATAGGGACTGCTTCGTCAGTTGCTATTTGTGTCATCTTGTGCCGTTTGACAAAGTGATGTTTACTTGATGAAACAATGGTAACTTAATCTTTACACCATGTCTGACTTGACTTCTATTTGGAGATTATAATTATTAAGTTAATTTTTTAATTTTAAAAATTTAAAAATTTATTCTTTTAGTTCGAAATAGTCTTAATTTAATCTTTGCTTATTATTTTGTTGTATGTGCAAACTATACATTTGTATCATTTTTTAGTCATATCTATTGAAAATATTCGGTTAATATATAAATTGTACAATAAAATTTGAAATTTTGATTTTTTTTTTCCATGAGGGTTGAATAAAAGCTTTTATTAATTCAGAGGACCTAGTTGCAAATTTTTAAACAATAACAAGACTAAAGATTATTTTCATATTTCCCTTTTCATGATCAATTGGTATCCAAGCAAGTTTTAAGAATTAGACATTGTTTGATTCTGCCTAATTATGTTAATATAGGTGAATTCCAATTTTAAGAAATTCAGACATCGGGGATTGATATTTGTATCAGATTTGATGAAAAAATTCAAAGATGTTCTGGCTTCAGGAGACTCTATGTATGCATTATCAGCCTCACAATCTCAGTCAGCACCTGTTCCAAAGGCTGACACAAAAGCGGAGGAGGATATTTATAGAATCGGGCTGGACCAGGAGGAAGGGTTGGGTGACAGTGAGGACAAAAATTTTGGTATTAACCTAATAGCCAGTATAGGAGTGACAGGTGATTTGGCCGGTTGTGACTTAAACAACCCTACAAGTAGTGGACTAGGTGATCCGGGAAGCGATAAAAAGAGGAAGAGGTGTGAGACGTCTAATGTGAACAAGAAAAAAAAAGTCGCCACCTCTACTAAAATTGTTGATAGCCTTAGTGTTATAGTTGCTGCTTCTAAGCAGCGAGCAGCAACATTGAACGACGATCCCCATGCATTTAATAAGGTTTTGGCGCACCTGGCTGACCTTAAAGAGCTTAATGATGACGGTCAACTATATTATGCATGTGCTAAGATGCTTACACGGTTGAGGTGGGCTAGACAAGTTTATTTGACACTTGTGCATAATAAACGTAAGTTGTTGAGGTGGTTAATACCGGCAGCACAAGACCCAGACATATGGAAAGGATTTATAGTTTAGGACTTGCTTACTTCACTGTTGGTATTGTATTTGTTAACTTGAATTAATTACTGTTTTAATATGAACTGATGTGGCTTGTTGTAGGAATTTAATTAATGAGTATGTAATATATTTATGCTAATTTCTACTTGTCATTTATGTATTTGGTTTATTTGTTAAGAGTATGAAAAATATTTACTTTCTCGTTATAATGTTTACATTTTTTTCTGATCACAGTTACAGGGTTAATTATATAATGGTTAATTGGAATGATGATTCATCATAGAGTAAAGATACTTTGGGGAATTAGAATAACGATTCATGGTGGAATGAAGGGAATGTAGATGACCATTCAATATGGTTATCCATGATTAATAATGGATTAATACAATATGAAGCAGTAGGCGTATCGGTGGGTTATTATTGTGAAATGTACATACTTAAATATCCTTGCAGAACTTGTGAGCAAACAGGAAAATTTATAGATGCAAGGCATTTTGACGGGTTAAGATGATCAATGTCATGAAATGTTTAGAGTGGATAAACGTGTTGTCCACCTCTTATATGCTAAATTGGAGGAACATGGTTTATGCAACTCTAAGTATGTAGGAATTGAAAAAATCGTCGTGATGTTTTTAAACATGGTTGCACATGAGCAATGCAATATGATGATTTAGGAACGATTTCAACATTCAGAGGAAATTGTAAGTAGGCAGTTTTATAATGTATTGCAAGCTTGCTTTAATCCATTAAGGGAACTTATTCGACTCATGGATTCTCCATTTCATGAAACTCATAGAAAAATTAAGAATGATTCACGTTATTATCTATTTTTTAAGGACCAAATTGGAGCAATTGATGGCATTCATATATCATGTGTTGTCTCTGCTACAAAACAAGACAAATTTGTTGGCAAAAAGGGAATTCTAACACAATGTCATGGTTGTATGTGATTAGGATATGTGTTTCACTTTTGTCTTAGCAGGATGGGAGGGATTCGCACATAATGCTTGTGTATTTGACAATGCTATTACAAATTCATTTCTAAATTCCCCTCATCCACCTCCAAGTATATATTTATAAGTTTCAATTAAGCTAATTTTTAATTATTTTATATTTTTATTCATGTCACAATGTCACAAATTGTTTCATGAATCATTAGGAAAATATTACTTGGTTGATATGGGATATCCAACACCAAATGGACATCTCGGTTCATACAAATCTGAGTGTTACCACCTTCCAAATTTTTGACGACAAGTAGGATTTCGGAATAATAACGAAGCCTTCAATTATTATCATTTCAGTTTAAGGTACACAATAGAAAGAATGTTTGGTGTTTGGAAGAATAAATTTCATATCTTACAAAATATGTGTAGTTATGACTTCCAAACACAAGTGTATATAGTTTGTGTAATAATGGTCATTCATAACCTTATAAGGAGACATTCGAGCTCCAACACCTTTTTTATAGAAGTTAAAAATGGTAATGTAGTTGACGAACATGATCAGGTTAAAGCTGGTCAACCATCGTCTTCAAATGTAACATCACAGTTTTCATCGCATATGAATCGCGTCCATGATGCAATCAGAGACCAAATTATCCATAGTTTATCAGTTAATTAATTATGTAATATTATTTCATTTCACCTTGTCATAATACAATGAATTGGAGTTCAAAACATTTTTATTCATTCAAATTATGTTTCGCTTTATATTTATAATAATTTTTTTTTATTTCTCTAATGTTTTAAAGTTTAATTTACTCATTAAATTTCACTTCTTCATATTAAATTAATTTAAATTCATTGTATTATATCAATTCATTTTTTATCATATTTTACTTTATATTTAAAATATTTTTTATGTTTTCTCTAAATTTTAAAATTTAATTCACTCACTAAATTTCACTTCTTCATATTAAATTAATTTATATTCGTTGTATTATGTAAATTTATTTTTTAATCATGTTTCACTTTATATTTAAAATATTTGTTGTGATTTTTTAAAGTTTTAAAATTTAATTCGCTCCTTAAATTTCACTTTTTCATATTAAATTAATTTAAATTCATTGTATTATGTAAATTTATTTTTTAATCATGTTTCACTTTATATTTAAAATATTTGGTATGATTTCTCTAAAGTTTTAAAATTTAATTCACTCCTTAAATTTCACTTCTTCATATTAAATTAATTTAAATTCATTATATTATGTAAAATTATCTTTTTAATCGTATTCTATTATTTATTAAAATCCATACCTATTTTGATAATTTTACAAGCAAATTTACTTTTACTCAATGATAATCTAAATAACTTTTTACAATCTCACTTTTACAAATTAACTTTTTTAAACTCCAATTCAAACACAATTCACCTTATCCAATTTAAGTTTTTTCCAGTCTTACTTTTCTAAAAGTCAGAATAGAAATAAGCTACTTTTTCCACTACCAATCCAAATGGACCCATGATTAGCTTAGGCTTTAATGGAATTAGTTAGGATGTTATAGTATGGAAGATTTGGTTATGCTGAATTGTTTGTTTGTGGTCTGTTTTGATTCTACCAAGTTGCTGAATTGCAAGTTGAATAAAAATACTGCATGCAACATAATTCAATTGCCTTTTTTTTTTATAAAAAAAACGTTTTTGTCTGTTCATATAAAAACAGAAGAACATGATGATGCATATTCATCTGTTTCATACGAATAGATGAATATGCTGCATATTCATCTATTCGTATAAAACAGATGAACATAATATTAGTTTGTTATATTCGTCTGTTTTGAACCAGATGAATATAGTCTTTCTTATATTCGTCTATCATATAACAAACAAATATATAACTCTTATCTATGTCTCTTCAATCAACATCTCTTTCTAAGCAAATAAAAATAAGCCCCCTGGATAAAAGAAAATAGCATAACTTGTAGTAGTGAAATTATAAAAGACCCCCACAAACTCCTAACAATTTGCTTGTTACCAAAGAAAAAAAAAACCACTTGACTAACATGCTTTTTTATATAACTTCCTCTAACAGAATTAAAAAGATTGAGCTGTGATTTTAACATTAAAGTTTTAGGTAAACAGTATCTAACGCAATTTAGTTTTGAATAGTATAAAATTAGATACTATTATTGAAAAAAAGGAACAATTTTACCACTTTTGTTGATAAATCCAAACACACGTTATTTTTAGTTCACCGAGATCCAGTTGATGTCGACGTTATTTATACCCACCAATAAAAATGCTCCGACTGCCCCAAAATTAAGGCTGAACATGGACCAGACCAGGCTGGGCAGGGCATTAGCCCGTGGTCTAGTCCATTTTGGTCTTGACCAATCTTGCTCAGTGAGGAACCTGTTGTTCTTCGAGTTGGGCAGACTGGACCAGACTAGACTGGGTTACTGGTCCAGTAGGTTTGGTCCAGTGAGCTGGAGAGCAGCGAATTCTGCATTCCAAAAAAGGGAAAATAGATATTAATAAACTCCAACATGGACAAAATATTCTTCTCAAAGCAATACTAAATTGAATTTTAACTAGTTAAGCGGGCATTTACCATTAGCTAGACTTTATTAAAATTCAAAGATCATACATGTGCAACTGTTTTGTTGACTTAGGCTGTTCTTTGAGAGAGTAAAAAATAATAGGAATCAAATTTGAAAATGCAGTTAAACAGAAAGCATGTGTAGAAAGAACCCTCATTTTCCTTCCTTCTCCAAAATATCCAACATTTATATAACTAGGCACTTGTTAAGAAAAGCATGCTAGAGGTTAAAGTAATTTTTAGAATAAACCTGGTGGCTAGGTCTCATTAGAAGAACGGTCCTCCCTTGCTTGTCAATGTAGTTGGATCTATAGATCTTTCCTATTTCCGCTTCATGAGCAACCTCTTCCTACATTATCAATAGAGACATATTAAACACCTTTTATCAAACGAATATCACTATGTGAGAGTTTAGCCAAGTCTAGAGCTCTTGCAGGTCACAAAGAATCCAACTGAATAACCAATCAACTAAATTCATTTAGTCAATCAAACTTACTTGACGGTGACGGAGCTGAAGAGCAATACGAGCCGGCAACTGGCAAGCAAATAGTGAGCTACAAATCGAAGGACCAGGAGGCAAGCTTGGTTACTAGCTGCTAGGGAATGGGGGTCGCCGGCGCTATGCAAATCACAAAAGGGGATGGGCATGATGAACTAAGAGCTTGAGACACAAATGCCTTCGCCATCTTCGCTAATCGCTGAGAGCCTGAGACGTTGATGCCGCTGCTAGGTTTTGAGGGAGAGAGAATTTGGGAATGCTCATAAAGGATGCCTGATGAAGTGATGGTATGATCTTTGATGGATTCGAACATTCGGTGGGGGCAAGTGTAACATCTTGAGTTTTATCGGGTTTTAATAGCCTCTTTTTGGTTGATTTTAAGGATAGATTAGTGATTTTGATGTTGATCTTGGTGTTTGGGTTGGAATTGAGGTATGTTGAAGGAATAGGTGAACAGACCCCTCTTAGGGTTTGTTTGCCGCGGCGAAGTTTTACTTCACCACGGTGAACCGGGAGTTCCAGGGGGAGTGTCTTTTTAGGAAGGTTTGGCTGCGGCGAAATCAGAGTGACGCCGTGGCGAAGTTGTTTAGGTGAGCGAGGTTTCCCTCTCAAGAAGGTCTTGTCGCGGCGAAGTTAGGGGTATACTGCGGTGAAGTTTTCTAGGCGAGCGAGAGTTTCCTCTCGGGAATCTTTCGCTGTGGTGAAGATTGGAGTTCGCCTCAGCGGAGTCAGGTTTTCAGGCGAGTAATCCCTCTTGGGATTAGTTTGCCGCGGCGAAAGGTGTCGAATCTATGTAGTCGCGGGAGGGTCTGGTTCTAAAAAAATTAGAAAATCTGAAGGAGGAGAGAGAAGCTCTGCTAGGGTTTCGATGTTGTGGCTTGGGAAAGGTGTTTCTAAGGATCCATCACCTCAAGTGATTTTAACCTCTAATCTACTTTCTTTCTTGGAATTTCTGAGGATTTATGGTGAAACCCTAGAGTTTTCTAGGTTGTTATGGAATTGAGGTTTTTGACCGATTGTTTTGAGTTTAATTGATTGCTTTGGGTTAGTCTAAGTATTTAATCGGTGTAGTTTTCTTGGATTTGAAGAACTTTGAGTTTTTGAAATTAGGGTTTATAGAAAAGGGAGGTTTGTGATTGAGGATGATAATGTAGAGGTTGATTTTGAGTTTTGTGATTTGGGTTATGTTAAGGAGGGTTAAATTGGATGTTTAATCGGTTTAGAATGTTGTTAAGACTTCTATTGTTCAAATGGATGTTTGGGGTGTTGAATTCCTATAGTGGGTCCTTGAGGTTTGAATCCTAAATTGATATTTGGAGAGGAATTAAGGTTTTAATGGATTTTTATGACTTTGAAGTATTGCCTTGGTGGTTAAACCCTTTTGAATTAGGTAGAGTTTTGATTGGAGATAGGAATTTTGTGTCTCCAATTGTTGTTTTGGCCACATTATTAGTTGAAAGCTAATACATGGTGGTTGTGTGTTTGTGTGCTTGTGTAGACCGGTTGTGAGCCTTGTTGGTGCACGGGGCCGTGTTGTTGGTTTGTTTTTCCTTGCTCAGGCGAGAGGTAACCACTTTCCAATCCTTTGTACATGCTTTTGTGGTATTATAAGTGGATTTATGTTTTGTGCTTCGAGTAACAACTGTGTTCAAAGTGTATGTTGTATATTGAAAAGGAAAACCGTCTTGTGGGGTTTAAATTGATATTGATTGAATCTGGAACTTGTGAAAGATAGGCCACTGAAATAAGTTAATTGTGAAATGATCATTTACTCTTTGATTACGGTTTGAGCATGATGCATGACTTGGGAATTGGTGAGAGTTTTGATTGTTACTACCACGTGGTAAGGCCTCCATTAATGCATGATGGTTGGCTCTTTACGTCCCCCATAGTGAGGGATAGCCCTTTTGGCTCCCTACGTCCCCCAGAGTGAGGGATAGGCCTTTTATGGCTCCTTACGTCCCCCATAGTGAGGGATAGGCCGGGTTCGGCTCTTGAAAATCCCCCAAAGTGAGGGATATGGTTGATGGGATTGCATCATTGCACTTGCATGACTTGTGTGGCTATCATTTATAATATTACTTGTGAACTGCCCCACTTGACACCTCACGAGCACCTATTTAGTAGTACCTTGAATTGGAAAGGTTTGTTACTGGGACGTTGTCTCACCCCGTGGTTTACAATGTTTCCAGGTGAAGGTTCCAGGTGTGTGCCATCGGGAAGAGACGCAGAGGCTTGAGCTTGGTTAGCTTTAGGCTTCTAGCCCTTGTATATGTATGGCTAGTATATATTGCCACATTTAGGATCCCTTTTGAAATATTTTGATTACCGGGCCTTGTCGTAAACTGGAGAGAATGTTATCTCCTTATTTTGGTTGGCCGGAGGCTATTTCTAGTGTCTTATGAAACTCTGATTTATTTTGTTGGAAACCATTTGAATGGGCTGATGTGATGTCTGTTGTTACCCGGGTCGGAGGCTCGGAGGCCCAGTGGATGTTAATGAATGATTTTTAGTTGCATGCAACGGAGTTTGCGTTTGACTCGAGTTTGAATGTTAATTTCTAAAGTTATGAAATTTTTTTCTACTATGGTAGTTCATTTTAACAGCTTTCCTTTTCTACCATAGTAGTGATTTTATGACGAGTTTATAATGTTTTGGGTTAAAGGGTTTTACAGGAAGGCCACAAGGGAAATCATAATTGGATCTGGAAAAAAAAAAGACTTCAACATGGGCCTAAATCAGAAATGGACTTGTTAGGGAAAAAAAAGAAGCAAAGAAACTATAATATGGGCCTATGCAGCTTTTTTTTATATCTCACAAAAAATCACCGGGTAGGACCGGGTTATCAGTCCAACATGTCTACTTGTAACCCGATCATACCCGATCTTCGGGCCAGACCGGGTCTAGCCTGAATCTCATCGGGCTTTTTGGATTGTTTCAAAAATTGGACCAGGTGAGACCGGGTTGGACTAGGTTACCTGGTTTCATGTGCAGCCCTACCCAAAATTTTTCCTCATTTCTCTCTATACCAAAACTTTGGTAGAATATTCAATTGCCAGTCTCTATATACGTGTTTTGTTGTTATTGAATTAGTTTTTATTTTTGGTTGTGACAAGACTACACGCATATATGTGTGTGTGTGTGTACTATATATATTGATATCTCAGGCCCAAAAAAAAGACATTGATATGAGGTATCTGACTGCATTGTGAATCAGCGTACAGATTCTGGTTTAACGAGTCCAAAGCCACCATCTTGAGTCCAAAAAAAATAAAAACAGATGTTATCTTTACAACATAAAATGAAAAGAAAAATTAAGTTAAAAAGAAAAAAGCTGTCAAATATGTATTTTTGTATTTTTATATTTTTTTTACTTTAAAATTTTTGTATATAGTGATGTTATTATGTTAATAATTAGAACTTATAATTATTTCTTATTAAATGTTTATTTAATTATTACATCACCCCTAACTTGTAACCAAGTAACGACGCGTTAATAATCAGACTGAGAAGAAAGTTGAAATTGAAACTCTATAATTATTTATTTAAAACTCACTTGATTACGTTTTTATTCCCCTCATCATGGTCCAATAATACGTATGAACAAACACTACAAATCTGCCACGTCACTCATACCAAAGCAAAATACTTTCTTAATTTATCGAACCCTTAATGGCGACACTATATCCACTTTTGAGATCAAACGACCTGTCCCAGATCATGACTCCGCCGCACTTCGTAGCCGTCTTGATTGCCGGAAGAACCTAAGAAATCATCACATTAGTTGGAATAAACCCGCCACTTTGGGCGGCCGCCTCCATCACCGGAATGCCCAAGAACACCTTCTCGGCTTTCACCGCCGTCCATTGTTTCCATCATTATATTGGCAATCACGGTTGTTGTGGAACTGAACCCAGATGTAGTTGAACAAGCCAGTGTTGATCGCATCACTCAAGTGGCCATCTGGGAAATGACATTGCCGGGCGGCGGGGAGAATCAACTGCTGCTTCAACCCCTTCAGAGTTCTGGCTAGATCACCCCAGTACTGTTGTCCATTACCGCCGGCCTCTATGTCGAAGTCGATGCTGTCCAAAACAGCGTCGCCTAGGGGCCGCGAGCCGGAACTTCCTCCGAGGAAGTTGGTCCAGAGATAGTTAGCAAGCTAGTTGGCCTCATCGGTGGAGTTGAGAGTAGTTTGGTGAGTCACCGCCGAGGGAGAGAAGCACTTTGATGCCTTTGGCTTGGCAAGCTTTGATTTGGGAGCTAAAAACGGTGCAGGTGTTGTCATCCAGATCGTAATGGCTGCCAAGGTTAAGTTTAGGGGTTCGGCCACTGCCAAAGGTGGACAAGAAAGCGATGTTGATGAATCGGTAGTTTGCGGTCTTACAGGTGTCGGCAAGGGAGCCTTCCTCGCCGTGTTGGCCCCAGTAGGTGGCGATTCCGGCAGCGTAGGACCTGGAAAGGAAGGAAGAAATAAACAAGAGAGGTAGGAAGAGAAGAGAAACTTGTTTAACAGAAGTCATAATGTTGATGTGGATGATTTGAAAGAATAGAAGGACGATACTTGTAGTGTTTGTGGTGTGGAAAAGTAAGAGAAGCGTGGCTTGTAGGGAATTAAAACTAGGGAAAATGACACTAAGGTCCCACACAAGGAAATATACTACAAAACAGTCCCCTGAAATCTGATGATGAATCACAAGTCCCATAGGGACTTAACTGCAATAATAAGGATGTTAAAAAGACATTATTGTCTAGCAGTGTAGAAGGAAAGGGCGCTCATATTTTCTGCACGATCTGAAGTTTTTGCTAATGGGAGAGAAGAGCTGGAAAAAGAAGGAAATAGCCATTGATAAAACATCTTTTTCACACTACTCCAAAGAGTTTCCATTTCAATCTCTCCAAACTTTGAGGTTTTGAAACTTTATTCCCCTCCTCTTCTCTGCATTTTGCTTGACAGATTGTGTTTGGGTATTGGAATTTAGAAATTTGTTTTTGCCTTTAGGTATTGCAAAGCTTTTGTTTTTTGTCTAATATGAACAAGATACTCAATAAAAAAAGTTGTGCTTTTGTTTGGTGTGGGTTGGTGATTTAAGTTGGGGTTTCATTGTAGCTGGGTAGAATAATGATGGGTGCTCTGTTTTTTGTTACATTATGGGTGGTTTTCCTCTATTTTAGCATGGTTTAGTGTGAAAGGTTGAAGAAGATGAAGGTTGGTATGGGTGAAAACCTTTCCTATGAAATGGGATATTATGTTGTCAATATAAGCTGTGAAGATTGTCAATGGATGCCGGGACAGTTGTCAATTGTACTGCTTCACTTGTCAATAATAGATGGATGATTGTTGATGTAGGTTTACATTAATGACGGCCAATATGTCTGGGAAGCATCACACCGTCAAACCATACAAGAACCCAAATACCAACTGAGAATGCATTGAAATCAGTTATTTTTTGTATATGGATGTGAAATGAATATTTTGTAAATGAGTGTAAAGGGATTTTTTTTGTAAATGGATACACACCAACAATTAGTTTGGTAATTACATGCAACCTTATGTTTTTTTTTAATGGGTTGTGAAATATGTATAATTCTATGTATATAAAGATGTAAATGAAAGTTAGCTATAAACTGATATGTTAGATTCTACTGTCATTTGAATTGTAATTATTGCACATTGCATTGTCAATAAACCTGTTTTGGCTTGTCATTGATTGCAGTATGACTTGTCAATTAATTTACTGATGTGAGTTATCTAAAATTTGAATTCAATTTACATAATATTGACATATCATATGATATTTTCAATTACCTTGACATATTACATTTTGGTTATAATGTTGTATATAATCATTATTAAAAGCCTATTATTACTGATATAAAATTATAAAATGAATTATCAATAATTATCTCATCACTTGTCAACAATGGCAATGTGACTTGTTGACGATGGCACTATGACTTGTCAATGAGGGAATCAACAACATAGAATTTCATCCAGAAAACTTGGTAATGAATCTGAAGTCTCAAAGGGATTGGAGTGCAATTTAGTAAAGTGTAAAAAGACTTCTATGTCTCTAGTGAGATGCACCCAAAGTAAATTAAAGTTGTCCTATTTTTCAGTCTGAGAGTCACCACTCTATACACTGAAAGTAAAAAAGAAAAAACCCAAACTTCATTATGTTTTTTTCCTATTCCCATTTTAAAATCTCATCCACTCCACCCATATCAGCCATTGGCAAAATTCTTTTGTGTTTTTGGTTTGGTGTGTGCTTGGTCATTTAAGTTGGGGTTTTATTATAAGTGGGTAGGGTGATGATGGATTTTTTTTTTTTTGGGGTATATTGTGGGGGATTGAAGGTGAGCTTGCTCTATCTAGGCATGGTTTGGTGGGAATTG